ATGATGTGGTTCTTTAATAAAGCATGAACTATTGCACAGATTAGAATGAGACTTGGAAACCCTGAAAACTGACATGTTGAATACATCACCAGACTTGATTAATAAAAGCCTTGTGTTGTCTATGACGTGTCCATAAAAATGAAGATTTTTCAAGGGAGACAGTAGAATGTTCCAGTGCTCAGTAAGACTATAACTCCTAAGCCTAAGTATACATTTTAAAAAGTTGGACTGGTAGAGGAAGGAGAAAATGATTACCATTGAAGTAGATAACGTCAGATAATTTAACAGTAAATTTTTCCTGTAGACAATACAAGTAGTATTTTGATCTCATTATGATGTGCAAAAGTAATCTTTAGGCCTTTTGGTGTCCTATATGCTCTTGATTGCCACAACATTGGTATAATTTAGGTGATAATAGCTTTTTACTTTGTATTGAAACAATGATTGGGAAAACAAATACTTTTTGTGGTCAGACTAAAATCTTAGAGTCTGATACTTGAGTTGCTAAAGTATTTGAGCACTAAGTGACCTGAAATTAAATTCAAACTAAATTTCCTGACTCTGTTACAGCTTACTATCAGACTTAGTATCTTCTACTGGGTGTAACATTTTCAACTGAGGTGTCAAACTTATTCATGTAGTTTCAGGACTGAGTGGTATGGTGATATTTTGAGCACAAAACTCTTTTTGGTGTGGGAAACAGATTCAAAAGAGATACAGAATATGATTCTGCTGCAATTTTCCCACTAGTACAGTCATAATGGTTAAGTAGGTTGTAGAATACAGGTGTGACAACCACCTAGTGAGTCTTCTAAGTAATTCTGCAAAATGATAATTTTCTTTATCTCTGTTTACTTATTTGGCGTAGTCCGAAACTACTCCAAGACAAGGTATTTCTTGAAATATTTACCTCCAGATGTGATATAATTTGGGTAAACTCATTTAATACTTTGTATCTCAGGACACTATACAGAAACTTCATATAGAAAAGGTAGTAAGAGAACCTAAGGTTTTTTCTTGTAGCTTACAGCAACATGTCTTTCATTATGAGAAATATTTATTTTAAAGTGAACACTTTACACACTTTTGGATAGTGGTAAATGTTCTAGTGAGAAAACTATGAGGATCCTAAATGAGATGACAACATACTCACCCACTGCAGCATCCTACTAGAGTCACTATGGTAGTTTCCATTTCCCTGTGCCCTGGCTGAACTCTTTTTTTTTCTGTCTGACCATGGTTTCTATCATGCTAAGAGGAAGAAAGAGGCACTGCCCTCATGTTTTTCAGTTATACTTTGAGTCAACCAAAGGAATATATTCAGTTAGGGGTTGTTTCTGCTGAGGAAAAAAAAGGTGATTTGTATTTGAGTACATTCTTTTATGCTTGAATTAGCTGCTATTATTTTCAAATTTAAGTGGAATGTCAGACTTCTTTACTAATATAAATATAAATACAAGAAGCATCAGAAGGCATGGCCCACAAACTAATGATTAATGAAAGTTTAAGAAACTGAAATAAATGTCCATCACAAATTAGAAGAACTATATAGATAATATTGCACAGTAGACTTTAATGTAGAACATTTATCAGACACTATTCTATTTGAGATCTTAAGAATTAAAGCACCTGGTTTGAACCAATAAATATTATTTTTTCTTTTTGTTGTTGCTGTTAGAGTTGTAAAATTAATGCTTTGCATTATTCAGATGGTTCTAACAAAGTCACACCATGTATTTGGCACTTCGCCTTTTGGATTATAGGCAAAGTCATAGAATGTTGTTTGAAAGCTGAAGTAAATCAGGCTGTTATGAATTGCTAAATGCAAGATCAAACCCATAATCCTCTTTGGACAACTGCTCAGGGAAAATAAAAAAGCTTTACCGTGAACCATGTTTTTCAAGTAGAACAGCATTTCTTGTGTTTTTTTGGATGATGTTCTTATTTTTGCATTCTAGCTGGTGAGTTTGAGAAGCTGTTATCATAGGGAATAAAGATAATGACACTTATCAGTAGATGGAAAATGTTAGCATCAGAAACTAAAAGAAAATACTTTGATATTTCTGTACAGATTCTTACCTCCACTGGACATAAAAATCTTGGCTGAGACAATATAACAACATCTTACAAGAAAATAGGTTGAAACATTCACCACAAAAGCTTAATGGTAGACTTGTTTTTCTGTGGTTGTCTTAAAGAACAGATGCAATTCTTATTACAGCACTTTGGCTCTTCCATAGGTACAGTAAAAAAAAAAATAATAATAATAAAAAATACAAGCAAGCAGTGCAGACAAAATAGTTTCCAGTAATGATGCTAATACTTTAAGTCAGAATCCTATCATAACAGTTCTCAAAGCATTATGACTCATTTGGGATATATATGTGCTGTGCAAATTCAAAGCTGAAAATGCTTACAATAACTGACATGGATCCCAGACACAGTACCAAAACTGTTAACATTTGAACTTTTCAACAAAAACTTCTTCCTATAAAAATAAGAGGCACTGAAGCGGGTTGTACAGAGAAGTTGTGAATGCCCCATTTCTGAAGGTCTGCGTTGGATGAGGTCCTGAGCAGTCTGATCTAACAGGAGGCAACCCAGGCCATGGCAAGGGTCTTGGAACTAGATCTATTTTAAGTCCTTTCTGGCCAGAGAACTTCTAGGATTCTATCATTTGAAGGGAAATTAATAATTTATTTTCTGAAAATACTTGTGCTTGGAATTAAAATTATAAGCTATTAGGTTCAGGGGAATAGCATTGCTCACCTTCAGCAGTTCTAAAAGAGGAGTAGAATGGATGAAGAATTTTTTTATAGATACATTACAGCTGTGGTATTATTTTACTTTGATCTTCTCTTTCTCTCTCACTTTCTCTCTTAATAACTGAACCTTGATTAATCTACTTTAAATATCTGTTCTATTTTTAGGTGTCTTAGGGCTAACTCACCACTGAGAGGTACGATTTAACTGAATCCAGTAAAAATGTGATCCCTTAGCAATCAGAATGGGAGTTCTGTGAAGGAAACACTTCTGCTTCCTCAGCTTTAGGTATATGCAGCTGTCAGTAACTTAGAGTCACAGGGACCTCAGCTATTGGAGCTTTACAGTTTATGGAGTTATTCTGAAATTCTGTGCAGAGTATACCAACTGAAAATTTACTACCTATGTGCACATTTTACCTGTATAAGAAATTACCTATTCAGGATAGCAGAGTGCTATGGTGAGGATTCATACATTGGCAAAACTCTGGCAAAATTTAATACATTAGTCCTGAAAATTTGTTTGCTGTCATTGTGGCTGATCCTTTGGAGAAAGTAATAGAAGGACAGATGTGAAAATGGTTACATGGAAAAATGTTATGAAAAATAGTATTACATACGTCTTTAAGGAATTCATTCTTTTTTCCTTCCTTCCTTCCTTCCTTCCTTCCTTCCTTCCTTCCTTCCTTCCT